ATTCCAAATCGGCTTCAATTCAATTCGGCTTCAATTCAATTGGAGATATAGATTGCAAGGGATGAGATTGCAATTCCAAATCAAGTAAGGGATGAGAATTCAATTGACAAATCTAGCAAGGGATAGAGATTTGATTTCCCAAAATAGAAAGGGATGAAGTTTCACAAGGGAAGAGATTTCCAAGTCAATTGAAGAGATGAAGTCTGGAAGCAGTCTACAGACCCAGACACGCGAAGTACAGAGGAGGATATTAGAAGAAGTTGCAGAAGCAAAAATACTAGTCTAACTAGTAAGGGATTATATTGGAGAATATATTTTGAAGATAAAAATCCCAAGAGGCGTGATCTACACCAGATGGAGATTCATGGGACGCCATTTTTGCTGAAACCTCAAGCTCAATTTGAAATATCTGACAAGATCTGCAACGTTATCTTATCTTCTGACAAAAGGCTATACAGCTAAGCAAAATTCGAAAATGAGACCGTTTCTTTCCAACGGACGGATTCTCATTACCAGCTATAAATAGATGAAGATTGAAGCTGAGGAAAGCAGAAGCAAATAGCAAGAAGCAAGAACGCAATAGAGCAAAAACAAAGCTAAACAGAGCATACAAAATTCAAAGAAAGCTTTCCATCTCAGGAGCTTAAATTGATATATCTTTTGTGAGATAAACACTCAGAGTGATACAGAGCTTAGAAAAGAAATATCCAAGAGTGTTGAAATCTTCATCAACTTCAAGAGATTCAGCGCATCAACGAAGATCATCTACAGAATCTCAAAGTTGGAAGCAAGGCAAAACTTGTTTTGAAGCAAAACAAGGGAAAGGAGGAAAGTAACACGGAGTTGTGAAATCCTGGATTGTCACACGGAGTTGTGAGATCCGAAGCAGCAGTGTCGGGAAGACATTGGGCATGATTGGTGTGGGCTTGGTGATCAAAGCACCAGATCACGGGATACGTTTCTACCGGATCGTAGAAGACGGGGGGAAAGTAGCACGGAGTTGTGAAATCCTGGGAAAGTAACGCGGCGACGTGAAACCCGAAGCAGCAGTGTTGGAGGCACTGGGCGTGATTAGTGTGGGCTTGGTGATCAAAGCACTAGATCACGGAATTCATTGTATCTTGGAACCAAGAAGTGGTGGATATAGTGAATTGGCTCTTTGAGAAGAGCAAGTGGAGTACATCACCTCGCGAACCACTATAAATTGCCTTGTGTTCTTTACTGCTTTCTTTACTTACTGCTCTTGCTTGCTTCTCACGTCAATAATCTTGACACGATCTACACACACACCGTATCGTTTATTTAATTCCGCTGTGCACCGGACTCTAACAATCTAGTTAAGAGTCTTGGTTTATCTCTGGCTTACCTTTTGTTATATTGTGCGAAAAAGTGTGAAAGTCTATTCACCCCCCCCCCCCTCTAGACTTTCACCTTACCTCTTTTGGGACCAACACATGTACTTGATAATTTCTGTACCTCTAACTATCATATTATGAGTTAGCAATTATCAAGTTATTTGTTTACATGTACATAAATTGTTAACTGTAGATACAGAATGTGTTAATTAAAGGTACAGAATTTTTGTAATAGAGTTCACAATGCAATATAAACCCTAATCCATGGTATAACAATTGCCTGAGTATGGGGTAAACGACAGCTGAACTCGAATAATCTAAGCTCGAAAATCGATACGGTTTAGAAAATCAAAGCTCAAACTCAACCAAGCTTTAATTTTTTGAACTCGAGTTCAAGCTATTCAAGCTCAACCCGAATACACTCAATAAAGTTTTTCTAAATCTATTTTTATATAATAATAAGGGAAAATTTCACTTTCCATCCATAAGTTATAGGATAATTGTAAAATTCGTCCCTAAGTGTTGGTCATACTCACTTTTCGTCCCTAAGTTATCATTGATGTTGCACTTTTCGTCACTTTACTAATAAAACATTAAGGACGAAACTTACAATTTTAGTATAGCTTAGAAAAAAAAAAGTCAAACACCAATGATAACTTAGGGATGATAAGTGATCATGACTAACACTCAGGAACAAATTCTACAATTACCCTATAACTTAGGGACAAAAAGTACAATTTTCTCTAATAATAAATTTAAATCTAAATATTACATTTCGACTATAGCAATTTTATAACATATTAATATAAATATATAAATATATTAGTTAAACTACAAATATTATAGTTTTTTAACGGAACAAATATTATATTTATATTATGTATAAAATATACAAATTTATTTTTTAAAAATTGATTAGGCTCGTGAGCTACTTGAGTTAAGTATTAAGAAGCTTGAATTTAACTTGATTCGTTACTCAAACTATTTAAGCTCAAACTCGACTAAATACTAACCGAATCAAATTCAAATATTCGTTGAATCAAATTTGAATAACTCACCAAAAATTTGGCTCATTTTCAGATGGCAAGTGGCATTACATACGGCAGTAAGGAAATGGTTAAGGAAAAACTAATTTCTCATTTTTCTTGTCTTTGTCTTGCCTTTGCCTTCTTGTTATTGAAGTCTTAGTATTTCTTTATAAAATATTTTGAAAAATAATCTTCTAGTTTTATTTTTGTGATTGAATTTGTCAATCAATCAAATTCAACTATTACGTATTCATTATATCTCAAACGTTCCTATTTAGTTATTATATTACCTTAGTAAAGAATTGATAAGAAATTTCTAAGAAAATACACCAAATTCATGTCTTGAAGAATTATTAAGTTTTATTCATACTATAGAAAAAACATCCAACAATTTTTGGAAACCTAGACTCTAATATGCAAAAGAGATATCAAGGTAAACTAGTAGTCACAATCGTAGAATCGGATTGGACGAATTTGGCTGAAAAAGAAAGGAAACAGACTTTGATTGGAAATTTTTTGAATCAAATTCACTGCGGAGCTAGATTGTACACAGACCTTGGCGAAGAACAAAGTAGAAATAAAAAACAAATGGGTGGTTCACATCAGTATGGATTCTTCTGCCAAAGCTTCCGTATCATCTATTCAACTGATTTTGGGATAGTGTCGTTCTCGTTTACGAAGCAAAATGAAGCAAACTGATTTCAAAATTAGGGATTTTGTTGTTTTAAGCAAAATGCTTAACTGACTGTCATGTCATATCTTTAATGCCTATTTAAACAAGTCAATAAAATAAAAAATAATAATAAAAATAATAAATAAATAAAAAACAGCTCCACATCAGCGTTACCTATAACTTGAAAGAAACTTGTAAAAAAATTTAGGTGAAAAAAATTTAATGATTTGTGAATCGAAACATTAGTTATGAATGGTCATGGTGCGAAACGACACTTTAGTCTTAAATAAATAAATCTCCAAGAAAGGAGTTTAGAGGTAGCCTGGATATATGATGGTCTCTCACTTCAATTCCCAAAACATAACAAAATGCAGGACTATGTCCTACACGACTTTTATCATTTTATGATTTATCCTCTGCAAAATCAAAGATTTATGAAATAGTGAGAATGATCTTCAATCTTGGTTCTAATACACCGGCTAATTTTGGATATATACAACTTTGTACATTACATTACAGTGTAATTTTGATATCCACGGCAACATAGATAACAATCACAATGCTCATTTTCCCCTCAAGGGAATAGTAACAATTGTGTAGCTCATTCAAGTCACAGTGTAGTGAAAGATTCAAAATCAATTGGAAGCTCATTCAAGTCACAACAAAATTTTAGGATTAGGCACTCCAACTCGAGGAAATGCTCAGCATATGCATTTTAGCATTCGAGATCTGAATGTGAAATGACAAAGAGCTTTAATCTAGGAAACACAACATATGATAGTTCTCTCTCTGGACCGTTGAACGCGGAATTTTTAAACTTGAGAACCTCGAGGTTTTTCAGCCTTCCAATAATGTCCATGTCCTTCCACGAAACATAAGTACTACGAAAAGTCAACTTTTTGAGGCTTTCTGGAAGAGTAGTTGGAAAATTAAAGCTGTTAAAACTTACCATTTCAATTTTTAGTCTCTTGAGCAACATCAAATAAACAAGACTTTTAAAAGCTTCAGGCGGCACTTCATTGTCAATGAAAACCCATAGTTTCTTGAACTCTAGAACTTGTTTAAAGTCTGTTATTTTTGGGTCCTTGCCGATTACATTCAACCAAATCAGAGTTTAGAGGTTTTATTTAACCACACATGGCAGATATAGTGAGGATCTCTTATCAACACGCACGTGCTATAACCATGGCAATTCCAAAATGTCTGGAGGCAGTTGCAAATGTCGACAGTCTTTCTTCTTCTATGAACAAATAATGAGAGTTTGCAAATTTTGAAGAACACTGATAGTTGTTTGTTGATTGTAATTGTTTTTCAACACTTAACAAGGCTTTCATTTGAGCCTCTTTCCTGCACAAGTCATACAACACATCATGAATCATACTTGAGTTTTCCATCTAAGCTTTGCTTGCTGACTTGCACTAGATTTTGACTAATAATATCTTACAAGTAGCTCTCTGCTTCTTTTTCCAAACTATTCAAAAATCTCTTTGCAACCCACAATTTGATTAACTTGCCAACATGAATGTCACTGTTTTTGGATTTTGGTATTAGAGCTTATTACGTTTCTAAGAAATTTTTGTATAATCTTAAACTATTGGGCTCTGATAACAAGTATTGAGCTCTGATACAAAGTATTGGGCTATGGTACCAAGTATTGAGCTCTGATACTTTTATTTTCCAACTGATCTTCCAAAAAACCTCAAAAGGTTGATACTTAGTGGGACTTTTCTTCTGTGGGAGGACATGTACATTATTGAAAGGTTGCCAAACCTCGAGGTTCTCAAGCTGACAAAATTTTCCTTCAGCGGTCCAAAGTGGAAACTTGAAGATAGCTGCAAGTTTGGGTGTTTAAAGCTCTTGTTTATTGCATATTCATATCTAGAATACTAGGAAATAACTCATAAAAATTTCCCAGTCCTAGGGCGCTTAATCCTAAAAGTTTGCTGGGACTTGAAAGAAATCCAAAGTGATTTTAAAAATATCAGTACACTAAAACTAATACAGCTAGACAATTGTTATTCTTCCCTTGTGGAATCTGCAAAGAAAATTCAAGAAGATATCGTGATTTATGGAGGCACACTTGTTATTCGTGATCTTGAAACTAAGGTCGATCTCCTATTCCCCTTCCTTCATAATGAAATATTGGTCTTAGTCATCTATTATATTTTATGAATTCTTTTTGTTTTTTAGGAAAATCTCTCATTCTTATGTCTTTCATTTTTATTTTTTCTCATTGTAAACTGTTTTTCTAGGATGGATTGCCTAATAAAAAAAGCTCTAAGGAAATGGGAGCTGCGATGATGGAAATGGATTAGAAAATGGAAGCTATTGTGGGAGATGAAGAAGCTATGAAGGAAGTAGATGAGAACTTGATGATTCTATGAATGATTAAAACCGGTGTAAGCTAAGGTATAAACCATATGTATCAACATCTTTGTGCATATGTACTTGTGTGATTATCTCTATAGAGCCACACCTCTCTTTGACGTGTATGTACATGTCTAAGCATAACAAATCAAAGAAAATCATAGTTAGTTGCATCTTCTATGCTTAGATGAGTACACAATGAATTGGCAAGGTGACTTAGGACTCGTGGTATAATATATGGTGGTCTGTTGTTCTCATGTTTTAATTGCAATATGGTTGTCACTCTGAGGTTTAATCTAATGTTATCTGCTTTACTAGAGAAACCTCTCTCTACCTATAATGTTAATTCGGTTTCATGTTTGTGCAAAGGGTGATGCCTTCTTGGAAGGTATCATTTAAAGTGTCAAAATTTATTCAGGTACAAGAAGAATTCAAGATTGCTGAAGTCTTGCAATGCTAGAGACAAATCTTCAAGCAGCTGCAAGTCCATTGTGAGCAAATTTCTTTCTAGTCTCGTCTTGATTTAAGTTTTGTGTGTTTTTCCTCTGCTGTTCTTGAATGTTCAGACTCTCTTGTCACAAACATTCATTTGATTGTTATCTATGTTACTATGTATATTGTAATTATAGTTTGATGTTCATGTCAAAAATTCTATATCTCCAGACAGTATTAGAACCAAGATTGAAGATTATTCCCACTATTTCATAAATCTTTGATTTTGAAAAGGACGTGATATTAAATTTTTCTATGCAATCGTCTCATGTATTATAAACACACACACACACCACTTCATATACACAGTAAGAGCCCGGAAAATTGCTTACTACACCATATGAGAAATGGTAGCTAACTGACAGGAACCAAGCCTAATAGCTTTTTCAGTTTCTGAGAAGAAACCTCACTGGCAGCCCATAAGCAAAAGATAGCTGCACATTTGAGCGGTTAAAGGTATTCCTTATTGTGCATTTGGATCTCGAGTACCTAATCCTCAAATTTTGCCTGGAGTTGAAAGAACTTCCAACTGATTTTGCAAATAACTATAATCTGCGACTAATAGAGTTAGACTTTTGTTATCCTTCCCTCGTGGAATCTGCAAAGCAAATTCAAAAAGAGCAAGAGGACATTGGCAACGATGCACTTAAATATCATTTAAAGTAGAAATTTCAAAATTGTTGGAAGTCTTGCAATGCCAGACAAATCCTCAAGAAGCATGAGAGCCCATTAGGAGCAAATTGTTTTCTAATCTCGCCTTGTGTTTTCTCTGTTCTTGAATGCTCATATTTGTTTCACAGATGCTCATTGTGAGTGTTCTCTATGTTCATACTTGTTTCACTGTCAATGTGATTGTTATGTTTATTGAAATTATACTCTAATGTTTGTAAATTGTAAGTCATAAATTCTAAGTAAAAATTACAATTTTTGTCCCCAACTTATTATTATTTTTGTTCTTAATTCTTGTGTGTGCTGGTATGTTGACACTTGACATGTCATCCTTAGTTTTTGAATAAATTTTATTTTTATCCTTAATTCATGGGTAATTATTATTTTCTTCCCAAGAAAGCTTACACAATAATTAAATACGAAAATAACAATTACCCAAAAACTAGGGACAAACATAACAACTTAGAAAAAAGTTTTAGAGCATCCACACTAGTGGATAATGTGGAGTTATTTCAGTTTGCTTTTTTCCCATGTAGAGATAATAACTAATGTGGGGGGGGGGGGGAGATAATTTAGAAATAGTTGTCCTGCAAGTGTAGGCATAATGTCAGAAAATTAAAAAAAAAAAAAAAAAAAAAAAAAAAAAAAAAAAAAAGAAGAAGCAAGCACGCGCCCGGTGGCGCGCTGATTACTTTTTTTTTTTTTTAATTTTAATTTTTTTTTTGTTTTGTTTTTTCTTTTTTTTTCTCCCCTCCCACATTCTCTTTCCTAATCACTCTTACATTATCCCCTCATTCTCCCCAACCAATGTGGATGCTCTTAAGGACAAAATAACAATTACCCAAAAATTTAAAGAACAAAAATTGTAAGGAGCAACTCCACTTGAATTGATCAAATTATTGACTTGGTAACTATAAAATTACAAGTTGATGTTTTTATATATAATAAAATAGATATGCATAAAAAAATTATCGACCAAGCAAAAGCTCTTTAAAAAGTAAAATATGTAAGAGTAAATATCCAAAATGGTCCATCGACTATAGTTAAATTCACAAATTAGTCCTCGACTTTTAATTTTAACCAATTAAGTCCTTAACTTTACAATTTTAACACAATTTGGTCCTTTGTCTATTTGACCGTTTATTGACTGCGCTTTTTTAAGATATATATGTAATTTCATGGTCCATCGTCGGTTTTTTAAGGTTCCGGTTGCATTTCTAGACCGCACTGTTACATTTGAATCCATTGTCGGCGCTGCACCCCATGCTAGAGGGATTATAGCTTTTGATAGATAGATCGCCGAAGTCCTAGAGTGGCTCTTCGAGAAAGCCGTGACTCCAAGCGATGTAGGCTAGTGGAACCGGCTCGGATCCCCAGGCAGCAAGCGGAGAAGCACTTCCCCCCTCCGAAACGGCGTTGTCACCTCCAAGAGCGTTCTCTAAGCTGAATCGGCGCGTGATCCCCAAGTAGCAAGCGGAGAAGCACTTCCCCTCCTAAACAACGATGTAACCTCCAAGAGCGTTCTCTTGAGCTTTGCACATGAAACTACATATATATCCTCAATGATCGCGGTCAACAAACGGTCAAATAGATGGAGGACCAAATCGTGTCAAAATTGTAAAGTTAAGGACTTAATTGGTTGAAATTGAAAGTCGATGACCAATTTGTGAATTTAGCTATAGTCGAGGGACCATTTTGGGTATTTACTCAATATGTAAATCAAATTTCTCTGTCACGTGAGTATATGTAAATTAAAATTGTAAATAACTAAGAAAAAATTATGAATCTATTTTTTCTAATTTCTTTACAAAATTAATCTTAAGTAGAAATTCACATCACGAACTTAAGTACCAACGAAATTATAGAAATAATTTTCACGGTGGTCTTCGGCATATCTCTTTCCTTCTAAAAAGTGCCCCAATTGCTTAATTTAAATTCATAATAACATTATTTTACTCTCCACAGGTAAAACAGTAGTAATGTATTTTTTTTATTTTTTTTTTGAATATAACATTCCCTCAAGCGAGCCACAAAAGTATTATCTGACACAAAGTACTTGGTAGCAGTAATGTATTTAAAATAAAATAAACTAAGTTAAAAAAAAAAAAAAAAAAAAAAAAAAAAAACGTTCGGGGCGGTTTGAGCCTTTTTAGGGTCCGCAGTCAACCCAAATCTCTCATCTCTCTCTCTCAAACGATCTCTCGCAGGCTGCAGCCTCTCAAGTTTGAATTCTCAAAATTTACAGTTTTTATTCTTCAATGTTTTCATTTTCTTCGCCGCGAATTTGCTTATTAGTCAAAGGCCGATGGGAAAGGTGCACAAGGTTAGAAGAGAGCACAGTGCTAGCGTTAAGGCAATCGGACTTAACCCTAAGTCCCTCCAAAGAAAGGTATAGCAAGATTCTAAGTACCTCAGTGGCTCAATAATCAATCTTTATGTAAATCTGGAATTTAAACTTTGAATTGAAACGCTCAAATCGAATTTTAATTAGATTATTAGTTTCGAAACTGGTTGTTAGTTCACTAATAATGAGTGTGAAATTTTGGTGATTTATTATTTTATTTTATTTATTCAAATAATTTATTTCAAATTACTCATTTTCCTCTAGCTTCGTTAGATGAGGATCCTGTTGTGATCTTCAGTCCTATCAAAAAATTATAATTAATAGAGTGACATAAAGCATATTAATCTTGCTAAAAAAAAAAGTTAAAAAAAGCATAAGATAAAGTGTTAAAGTAGCTTATAAACATTACATAAAAGGGACTTTTCTAGTGAATCTTCCTATTATTAACTTCATTTTGATTTTTATTGTGTGGATAACGGTACATCTTAAAGAAATTGTCCCTTAATTGTCTTGAATTTGTTAACAGGCTCCTCTTGTGTTTTGGAAGAAGATGATGTGATGGGGGTTTGATAGAGGGGCAAAAACTATAAAGGACTGTTGTGAACTCACCTTTGGATGTATGTTTCAAGGGCAGAAATTAATCAACATCTTGAGAGTAACATTACCAAGAAGAACAAAGAATATCATGATATGTTTGAATAGCACAGATAGCTAATAAAGGAGGCTTCAAAGGTTGGAAGTATTTTGTTGTTGAGGATGATGGGTAGACCAATCAAGACAATAATTACTTGAAATTTGTTTTCTCCAACAAAATGGGAAGCAATAGAGTCCTCTTCACAACTTAGGATGGGCATATGGGCATTCAGCTATACGCAGATATTTCTTGTAAATTGCACTCTTCAAAATTTGTAAGAAATAAGGAAAGTTGTGAGTTACTGAAGAGGAAAGGTTTTATCAAAGAAAGTTGTTTTATTGAGCTTGAAAAGGACGGGGAATGCATTGCTATAAAATGCGGTGGACTGTCACTTGCAGAAGTTGCCATTGTTGGTGTCTTAGTCCAATACATTAGCAACAACTACTATTGCAAGTGGCAGTCCATTGCACTTTATAGCTATATGTTTATGGCCTCTTTTAGTTCAAAAAGGACAACTTCCCTTGAGAAAAACCTTCTTCTAGTAGCTCCCAACTTTCATCATTTCTTTAAAAGTTTAAAGAGTGCGGCTTACAAGCAGAATCTGCATATTAGCTACATTCTCATGCCTAGTTATTAAGAGATTCTACTCCCTCTCATGTTATTGAGAAAAGCAATTTTCAAATATTTCTAGTCTTGTGGTCCACACATCATCCAGGACAATGAAATGCTTACTACCCTCTAAAAGTTCCTTTATTTTAGTTGTTAAATGCTCTTCAGGCATATCATGGTACTTCTTTTTCTTCATTACTTTTGCACTCTCAACTCTCAAGAAGCTCAACATCATGTGTGGAGTTTGCATTCTCTTTTTGAACCATTGTATAAGATTTACATCTAATTCATATGCATTTTCCTCATTTTATTTATTTAATTACTTTTCATGTTAATTTCTTCCTCGATTGAAATTTGTTTGTTTTTTTTTGGGGAGGGGTGGGGGGATACTGATTTTGAATTGTTTTTTTTTGGTTGTTTAGGTGCAAAATAACCTTTTGGAGTGAATGGGGGTAATATTTTCCTTATTATTGGAAGAAAGGAAGAGATAGTTTGGATTGTGATCAATAACTTGTTCATTTTTGCACCCAGCAGCTGAATCAACTCTTGTGTGACAGGTTGTTTAGGTTTGTTCATTCACTTATTTGAATTTCATGATTTCATTCTGATGTTTTGTATGGTCCAGTGACTGTAGCAGACCTGATACTTTGACCACATGTTAGCATGTTTAAACAATTGGGTGGTGCCTATTCCAGGTTCTACCTATGAGTAATGTCATTGTTATTTCAAAGAAACTGGAAGATATTAACAAGCTTTGTGCAACATCACTGATATTGAATGCTATGAGCATTAATCTCTCCCCTAAACAAGTTAGTGGTCACATGTTCTGGGAGTTAACATAATTTCTAGTACAGCCATTTTAGCACTCCCAGAAATATTCCAATGAATGTGTTATGCTTCTGAGCATTTATTCACACGCAATGAGTATTTACCTAAGATAAATTTAGCAAGGTGAGTTAGGAGTCATGGTATAATTTAGGGGGTTCTGTTGTTATCATATTGTAATCGCAATATTGTAATTGCATCTACTTCTTTATAACTCATCATGTAAAATAATTTATTGTTTTAGGTTAGGTGGCAGATGAACCTGCATCTACATATAAAGTTAATCCAATTTTGTGCTTGTGAGAAGGGTGATGCCTAAACTCTTTGGAAGATACAAATTTGATATGTCAAAATTTGTACAGGTAGAAGAAGAATTCAAGTTTGTTGAGGTCTTGCAATGGCAGACGATTCCTCAAGAAGCTACAAGTCCATTAAGAGTGCCCAAATTTCTTTCTAATCTTGTCTTAATTGTTTAAGTCTCTGCTATTCTTGAATTTTCAGACTCTCTTGTTATAGATGTTCATTGTGATTGTTATCTATATTGCTAGGGATATCGAAATTACACTGTGATGTTCATGTCATAAATTCTATATCTCCAGAATTAGTTGGTGTGTATTAGAACCAAGATTGAAGATCATTTCCAGTATTTCATAAATCTTTGATTTTGCAGGGGATGAACCATAGAAGTCATGAACCATAAGTGGTCTACAAATTGTGCTGCCAATGCTATAGCATTTGAAACCAAAGGAAACTATGTTGTATAATTTCTGTTTAGCTCAAAGGGTGCTGTTCTCTTTGCAAAAGAAGTTACTTTTTACTTCTACTTGTCATAGTTCAACACATCAAACAAATGGCTGGCAACAATGATGATAATTATCATTTTGATATTAACAGCAACATTAACACTTGAAGGAATCCAAAATACCAAACAGACAGAACAACAACAATCCTAAGCATCACATTGACAGATGAAGTTCAACATTAACACATCAATGAACCATCAACCGCAACATGGAACATCATTTGATAACAAGAATGCAAATGAACACTTCAACTTCAGCGAGCCAGGACGCATTTTTGGGAAGCCAATGCATCATTATAACTAGTAGTGAACTCCTTGGAGATTTATTTATTTATTTTGGGTGACAAAAAAAACCTTGCAGCCATTACTCAATGGTGTAGACTTCGCTTAGTAATGCTAGTCGACAAAACATTAACACTTGAAGGAATCCAAAATACCAAAGATTAATACAGAACATCAACTGCAACATCAGCAACTCAATGATTTCTGGGAATTTTGCCTCATTATAGCTCTATATGATGTCCCTTCAAGAAACACAAATTGAAAAGCTAAAATTATTTGCAAATAACTAAATAAAATGTCCTCCCTTTTTTTATATCCAAATGTAATAACAAACTTAATATTTCATTTCGATTATAGCCATTTTATAATATATAAATATAAATATTAAATATGTCAAAGGATATGAAAATTGATTGTTGTTAATCTTCCATAGGTATATACCTTGCCTAAACCAGTTTTGCTCAGTCACAAAATAATCAAATTGCATATTTTCTCTCTTCTTTAGAGCTTCCATCCTTTTGCAATTCGTCCTAGAGAAAACAAGATAAGAGGGATTTTAAAATAAACTAATTCATAGAATCAAAAGACTTAGAACTCATTATTTAAAATCAAGAAATGAGAATTAGAGATAAACCTCAGTTAAAAAATGTCGAACAACAAGCCGTTGGAAAATTTTGACTCGATTTTGGCCTCTGCTTCAACGGCTACGTCTCGGATTTTGGCGTCCAGAGCTTCATCTACGGTTTGTATCTGCGATTCCTCCAGAAAGGCTTGCAGAGAGCGGAGCTTGTTGAATAGCGAAGTTACGACAACAAAAGCCATTGGAGAGAGATGGAATCAGAGCTCAGATTCCATCAATAAATCATCTTAAATTCCCGTCTCCCCCCACCCCACCCTAACCAGCCAGCATCCATGGTGGTCAAGGCATGCAAACCGCCGGCACCTTTCCCTGCTGCGGCCGTGCCGTTGATAGATCTCTCCAAGCCCGACTACAAACACCTCCTCGTCAAGGCCTACGAGGAGTTCGGGTTCTTTAAAGTTGTCAACCACGATGTCCCTTCTGACTTCATAGCCACACTCGAATCAGAGGCCCTTCAGATTCATCTCCTCTCTGTTGGAAATTTATATAGTAATGGAGATTAATGTTTCAGATGAACTACCATAAAAGCTTAAATAATATTTGGAGTTGTGGAGTTCTAAATATTATTTTAGTTATGTAGAACGTTAATTAAAATACTGAGAGAAATTTATATAGCTATATGCTTGAGATATATAGCTAATATGCTTGAGAGTTATAACTAATATGCTTGAGAGTATTAATATGCTTGTGAGTATATAGCTATATGTTTGTGATATATAGCTAATATGCTTGAGAGTTATAGCTAATATGCTTGAGAGTATTAATATGCTTGTGAGTATATAGCTAATATGCTTGAGAGTTATAGCTAATATGCTTGAGAGTATTAATGCATGTTTGGATATTTTAATGCGTAAGGTCTTATGCATTTTGAAGCTATATGCTTCAAAGTTACACTTAACATGCTTGTTTGCAACTTCTCCAAACAGTTAGATTTTTACATCTATAAATACTTGGAGAGACATCTGAAGAACACATAAAAAAAAAAAAAAAAAAAAAAAAGATAACAGGCAATTGATGGAGGCAATCAACTTGCAAGACACCAAGATACTTCACAGGCTTACATCTCTACAGGAAATTCTCAAACAAAGCAACTTGAGAATTTCATTATCTTCTTGTATCCCATAAGATTAAATCTTGAACCTTGTTGCTTTTATAGAGGGAGATTTAAAGCTTATAGGAAAGTGATTACACGCCTGAAGATATCAAATGATCCAGTTTTTGTTCCCTGTTTTATTCTATATTATTGTTGTATCTCAAATGTATTACAGATTACAAGCATTTTTTCCAACACTCTCCCCTGTCGGAGAAGCTCAGAGCAAGTCCCCTACCCGTTCGGCTACGGCAATAAGAACGTCAGCGCCTGCGGTTGGGTCGAATACATTCTCCTGTCTACCCGTCACCCGCAACTTAATTTCCAAAAGTTATCTTCCATCATGTGCTTATCGCCGGAAATATTTTGGTAATTTTCATGAATTCAATTAACAAGAGTTTTCTGGCCGCACTGCCCGGAGCGACTCTGTTTTCCAGCTGAATCGCTACCCGCCCTGTCCGAAGCTCGGGAAAAACCTGTTTGGGTTCGGAGAGCACAACAACCCTCAGATCATCTCCGTTCTAAGATCCAACAACACCTCCGGCCTTCATCGACGTCGGAGATTCTATTCAGGACCGTCGTTTTCGGTTGCCGGTGAAAATCGAGGGCGGGGTGTTGTTGGCAAGGAAACAGATTGGAGTTCCCAGCAGGTGCACCAAGGACTACAGGTGTTGTTAATACCTAAATCAAGAAGAACACTAGCTTTGAGAACTCCATTTGTTGTTTGAGGATTGGGTTTGAGTTCTTTGGATTTGAAGAAGAAAGAAATGGGTTCTGGGTTTGGTTAGAAAGACAGGAAAGAGAGAGGATAATCAAGCGGAAAAGAAGGAGAAAGGAAAAATAAAAATAAAAAGTCACATGAAATTACCTATTTACCCTTAGTTAACGGTGCAACATAACGGTTAATCACAGGTCCGTTAGGGGAGGGGCAATATATGTATCATTTTAAAAATTGAGGGGCAACATTTACACCACTAATAATTCAGAGGTGAGTGGATGACATTGATAATTGACATATTACAGAGGGGCATAACTACAATTTTCCCTTTTTTAATCTTTTCTTTCACTTTCAAAAATAAAAATACTCCACAATACATAGTTGTACCGGACAAGCAAGGATAATAAAGGATTCACAGATCTTACACTTTTTACTCCTTGATATGATAATATTGATAAGGTACATTTTTTATGTAGGTTCCAATACAAATGTTTACATCAAGATTTTGTGTGTAAAGTAAGAGTTTAAGAGTAAAAAATTAGTACAGATAATATTTTTCATCACAATTTAGTTTGAACCGTGTACTGTAAGAATCGAAAATTATAGGGATAATTTTGGTTCCAAATAAAAAATAAAATAAAATAATAAGTGTATAATCATCATTTACAACAAAAATTAAGTGCATAATCATCATATTTTTTGGGTTAGACCAGATGTGTCATGAGCAGGGCCTAACTATAGGAGGCGGCAAATTATACCATAGATTAGGGTCTACCTTGCATTGTAGACTAGGGGTGGACATTTACGTTCGGTTAAAAACCGATCCGAATCAAACCGAACTATTAATATACCGAAAACCGAGCCGAACCGAATAACGTTTGGTTTTAATAATAATAATAATAGTAATAATAATAATAATAATAATAATAATAATAATAATAATAATAATAATAATAATAATAATAATAATAATAATAATAATAATAATAATCCTTTATATAATAAAGCTATATGGTTTGGGAAATAATTAATGTTACAATTAATGCCACAACATCCTTTATCATAAATAAAAAAGCACAATATTTAAAAAATAAAATAGCTATATATTATATAATCATATAAAAAATATACTTTTGAAAAATAAAATAGCTATATATTATATAATCGTATAAAAAATGTGTTCAATTAGAGTTTAAATTTACACATACAAAATTTGAAATTTGCTTTCCAAATGTAATTATCTTAGTTATTATTTGTATTGTGAAAATTATAATATAGATGAAATACAATTAAGAATAAATCAATGTAATTATGTAAATTATCTCTATAAGTTTATTTGAATATGCACATAATTAGAGATTATATTAACCATACAAAATTTTAATTTTAATTTTAATTTTAATTGTAATTTTGTATTATATAAAAATAATAAATACTTGACCAATGGAAGCTCAAAAATATTACTATATTAAATAATTTAAAATATTTTAGTTTTTCTATTTTTTATTTATATTTATAATAACATAATTTTTTTCCGTGCATCGTGCGGGTGAATTACTAGTAATAATAATAATAATAATAATAATAATAATAATAATAATAATAATAATAATAATAATAACTATTATCACTGGTATCCCACTTAATTTTTTTATTTGATTTCTTTATACCTTGTTCTCTACTTTGCTCTTTTGTTGTTTACTGTAATTTTTCTTTACTTCACAATTAGTACTTAGTAGTATGTTTAAACTTTGAATTGCTATTTTGTTATATTTTTTGAGTACTACTGGCTCTATTCTCACAATTAGTATTTAGTAGTATGTTTTTCTATTTTGTTATATAATGTTTAGATTTTGGATATGGATTATGTGAATATGTATTGTTTGGTAGTATGTTAAGAAAATTAGGAAATGTTGGAATTTGGGGATCTTAAACCGAATTGAATTAAATCCGAACTGTTTCAAACCGAATCGAACTCTAATGTTAAATCGAATGGTTTAATTGTTTTAAAACTGAAAATCGAAATCGAAGAAAATCGAACCGAAGCCCGAAACGCCCACCCCTATTGTACACCCTGGTTCCAAAAATAACTTTAAGATTTTGTATCTATAGTTAACACATATTGTATCTGCAGTTGATAGTTTCTCTACCTAACTTGTAATTATCATATTATGTGTCAGCAATTATAAAGTCATATTTTGTATCTATAGTTGACACATTCTGTACCTGCAGGTTGCAGTTGATAGTTTTTGTACCTGTAGCTATCATATTATGTGTCAGCAATTAGTAAGTTATTTGTTTACATGTACATAAATTGTTAACTGTAGGTACAGAAAGTGTTGACTGAAGGTACAAAATTTTTGTATCAGAGTTCACAATGCAATATGAACCCTGGTCCATGGTATAACAATTGACTATGACAAATTATACTTTGGACCAGAGTCTACCTTGCATTGTACGTAGGCTCTAGTATAAAAATAACCTTCAGATTCTGTACCTATAGTTAGCACATTCTCTACCTACAGTTGATAGTTTCTGTACCTGTAGCTATCATATTATGTGGTCCAAAAATACCCTTCAAATTTTGTATCTATAGTTGACACATTTTGTACATGTACTTGATAATTTCTGTACCTCTAACTATCGTATTATGAGTAAGCAATTATCAAGTTATTTGTTTACATGTACATAAACTGTTAACTGTAGATATAGAGTGTGTTAATTAAAGGTACAGAATTTTTGTATTAGAGTTCACAATGCAATATAAACCCTAATCCATGGTATAACAATTGCCTAAGTATGGTATAAACGAGAGCTGAACTCGAATAATCTAAGCTCGAAACTTGATACGGTTCAAAAAATCAAAGCTCAAACTCAACCAAGCTTTAATTTTTTGAACTCGAGTTCAAGCTATTCAAGCTCAACCCGAATACACTCACTAAAGTTTTTCTAAATCTATTTTTATATAATAATAAGGAAAAATTGCACTTTCCATCCATAAGTTATAGGATAATTGTAAAATTCGTCCCTAAGTGTTGGTCATACTCATTTTTCGTCTCTAAGTTATCATTGATGTTGCACTTTTCAATTCGTCGCTTTACTAATAAAATATTAAGGACGAAATTTGCAATTTTAGTATAGCTTAGAAAAAAAAAAAAAAGTGCAACGCCAATGATAACTTAGGAATGAAAAGTGATCATGACTAACACTTAAGAATGAATTCTACAATTACCCTATAACTTAGGGACAAAAAGTACAATTTTTCTCTAATAATAAATTTACATCTAAATATTACATTTCGACTATAGCCATTTTATAACGTATTAATATAAATATATTAGTTAAAC